GTCTCCCCGGACCCTGCATTCACTATATCCGCTCTCCCCGGACCCCGCATTCACTATATCCGCTCTCCCCGGACCCCGCATTCACTATATCCGCTCTCCCCGGACCCCGCATTCACTATATCCGCTCTCCCCGGACCCCGCATTCATTCACTATATCCGCTCTCCCCGGACCCCGCATTCACTATATCCGCTCTCCCCGGACCCCGCATTCACTATATCCGTTCTCCCGGACCCCGCATTCACTATATCCGCTCTCCCCGGACCCCGCATTCACTATATCCGCTCTCCCCGGACCCCGCATTCACTATATCCGCTCTCCCCGGACCCCGCATTCACTATATCCGCTCTCCCCGGACCCCGCATTCACTATATCGGGTCTCCCCGGACCCTGCATTCACTACATCCACTCTCCCCGGACCCCGCATTCACTATATCGGGTCTCCCCGGACCCTGCGTACACTATATCTGATCTCCCCGGACCCCGCATTCACTATATCTGGTTTCCCCGGACCCTGCATTCACTATATCTGGTCTCCCCGGACCCTGCATTCACTATATCCGCTCTCCCCGGACCCTGCATTCACTACATCCACTCTCCCCGGACCCCGCATTCACTATATCGGGTCTCCCCGGACCCTGCACTCACTACATCCACTCTCCCCGGACCCCGCATTCACTATATCGGGTCTCCCCGGACCCTGCGTACACTATATCTGATCTCCCCGGACCCTGCATTCACTATATCTGGTCTCCCCGGACCCTGCATTCACTATATCCGGTCTCCCCGGACCCTGCATTCACTATATCTGGTCTCCCCGGACCCTGCATTCACTATATCTGGTCTCCCCGGACCCTGCATTCACTATATCTGGTCTCCCCGGACCCTGCATTCACTATATCCGGTCTCCCCGGACCCTGCATTCACTATATCTGGTCTCCCCGGACCCTGCATTCACTATATCTGGTCTCCCCGGACCCTGCATTCACTATATCTGGTCTCCCCGGACCCTGCATTCACTATATCCGGTCTCCCCGGACCCTGCATTCACTATATCCGGTCTCCCCAGACCCCGCATTCACTATATCCGCTCTCCCCGGACCCCGCATTCACTATATCTGGTCTCCCCGGACCCCGCATTCACTATATCCGCTCTCCCTGGACCCTGCATTCACTATATCCACTCTCCCCGGACCCCACATTCACTTTATCGGGTCTCCCCGGACCCTGCATTCACTACATCCACTCTCCCCGGACCCCGCATTCACTATATCGGGTCTCCCCGGACCCTGCGTCCACTATATCTGATCTCCCCGGACCCCGCATTCACTATATCTGGTCTCCCCGGACCCCGCATTTACTATATCTGGTCTCCCCGGACCCCGCATTCACTATATCTGGTCTCCCCGGACCCCGCATTCACTATATCCGGTCTCCCCGGACCCTGCATTCACTATATCCGCTCTCCCCGGACCCCGCATTCACTATATCTGGTCTCCCCGGACCCTGCATTCACTATATCCGCTCTCCCCGGACCCCGCATTCACTATATCCGCTTTCCCCGGACCCCGCATTCACTATATCTAGTCTCCCGGGACCCTGCATTCACTATATCCGCTCTCCCACAGTACACACAACATGGAAATACAATTATTTTAGTAAATCTAAACTGCTAAATACCTTTTCTCATCAGCAGTATATAGCAGTATTGTGACTTCTATCAGTGTCCAGCTGAGTACGGGTTAATCTTGTAGGAAGAGTTTTCATTCTCCTCTGACTGTCCTAGAGGGCTGCATGACCCCTGACCCTCTGTCTGGACAGTGCAAATTGGCCCTGTGCTGATCACATGCACCCTCCCATGACAAAAAAAAAAACAAAACACTATAGCAATACACTCCAAACCGAGCATGTGCAAACTTGCCACTTCTGCTCTGTACTATGAGCAGATGGATTGGGGACAGTAGAAAAAGGGGAAGATCAGAGAAGACAGGATCAAAATGCCTTTTTACACAAGGCAGAGGATTAACCCCTTAGGTTCCACAGTGAGTATAACAAGCGTGCTTTACTGCATCTACAGACTGATTGTACTGTTGTGGGTTCAACATGTACAAATATACACCATATATCCAAAGACAGGTCCACTTTAATGTCCAATAGAACCTTCAGTGTAAGGCCCGGTTCACACTAGTGCAGGGCGTGCCGCCCATGTTTGCGCGAGCACAACAGCCCATTCATTTGAATGGGCTGCTGTGCCCACGTTTCATGCAAAAACTAAGTTTTTCACCTTTTCAAAAATACATCTTTTTGATTATGAAGTTTCCCTGCGATTCCTGCACCTATGATCGTGCTGCAGGATGAGATGCATGGGGGTGCTATTCAAAATGAATGGCAGCCCCTGCGGGTCTCCAAAGAACAGTGCAATTTGGTTGTGGGTGTGGGAACAGGTGCGATTCCTACACCCGCTACCAGCCCGCGGGCTAGAGTGAACCGGGGCTAAATCAGCTCAATGTACTCCAGGTGCATTAAATAAATGTCTTATAAATCAACTTTATTCAAAAGCAGCTACAACCTGAGTAGAGAAGCTAGACCCCTGCCGATGGATCCATTGATGGGTGTCAGTGGGAGGAATAGTGCCCCATCGTTGGGTGTCAGTGGGAGGAATAGTGCCCCATCGTTGGGTGACAGTGGGAGGAATAGTGCCCCATCGTTGGGTGACAGTGGGAGGAATAGTGCCCCATCGTTGGGTGACAGTGGGAGGAATAGTGCCCCATCGTTGGGTGACAGTGGGAGGAATAGTGCCCCATCGTTGGGTGACAGTGGGAGGAATAGTGCCCCATCGTTGGGTGACAGTGGGAGGAATAGTGCCCCATCGTTGGGTGACAGTGGGAGGAATAGTGCCCCATCGTTGGGTGACAGTGGGAGGAATAGTGCCCCATCGTTGGGTGACAGTGGGAGGAATAGTGCCCCATCGTTGGGTGACAGTGGGAGGAATAGTGCCCCATCGTTGGGTGACAGTGGGAGGAATAGTGCCCCATCGTTGGGTGACAGTGGGAGGAATAGTGCCCCATCGTTGGGTGACAGTGGGAGGAATAGTGCCCCATCGTTGGGTGTCAGTGGGAGGAATAGTGCCCCATCGTTGGGTGTCAGTGGGAGGAATAGTGCCCCATCGTTGGGTGTCAGTGGGAGGAATAGTGCCCCATCGTTGGGTGTCAGTGGGAGGAATAGTGCCCCATCGTTGGGTGTCAGTGGGAGGAATAGTGCCCCATCGTTGGGTGTCAGTGGGAGGAATAGTGCCCCATCGTTGGGTGTCAGTGGGAGGAATAGTGCCCCATCGTTGGGTGTCAGTGGGAGGAATAGTGCCCCATCGTTGGGTGTCAGTGGGAGGAATAGTGCCCCATCGTTGGGTGTCAGTGGGAGGAATAGTGCCCCATCGTTGGGTGTCAGTGGGAGGAATAGTGCCCCATCGTTGGGTGTCAGTGGGAGGAATAGTGCCCCATCGTTGGGTGTCAGTGGGAGGAATAGTGCCCCATCGTTGGGTGTCAGTTGGAGGAATAGTGACTATATGGTTATGTCAGTGGGAGGAATAATACCCCATCATTGGTGTCAATGAGAAGGATAGTACCCCACTGTTGGTGTCAGTGGCAAGAATAAAGTCCCATGGGTGGTGTCTGTGGAAGGATTGGTGCCTCCTATCAATGGGAAAAACAGTGCAATGCCCCAAGTGCCAGATAAATGCAAACAAAGGGCTGCTTTCGGCCTGCAGGCCGCAGTTTGGAGACCAATGGTCTACAATAAGTACTCTCCCCCTTTCCTTTTTTCCTTTCTTGTACTTGCTATTTGTGACTTTGCATGGATCTTACCAGCTGTGGGTCGATCTCAGCCACGCTCCTCCCATGCACGGCGTCCAAGAGTTCCTTCAGCTCACTGGAGCTGAGCTTTCCCAGGCGCAGCTTGTCGGAGGAGAGCGGTTCCAGAAGATACAGACGCTTCCAGAGATTATCCCGTCGGCAGTGGCACTTGGCGAGCTGCACCATTTCCACCAGCTCCCTCTGGGCGGTGCTGACCTCTGTCCCCAGCAGCGTAAAGAGATGAGGGTTATAGAGGTTCGCGGAACCCATTCTGCCCACCTCCCCCTCCAGGGAGTCCTCCTGATTCTCCATCTCCATTCTCTGGCGCATCCCGAGCTCCGAGGCGCCATCCAAGTCCTGGGCGGCATCCCGCTGAAGCCTGGGAGGTTTCCTGAATCGGCGCATGTCAGCCGTCAGGCGGGGGAACAATTCACGCTGGCTCGTCATGATGACGTAGAATCGTAGCCTGGGGGGGGGGGGGGACAAGAAATGAGAGAGATGGGGGTTAAAACGAAAGTGAAATAAAACACGGCTTAAAGGATCAGATAAATGTAGCTAAAAGCATTTGCTCAATGTATTATTAAGAAAGGTAATAAAACAGAGAAGACAGATGAATAATTCAAATGGAAAAGTAAATGAAGATTGATGCTTTGTGAATTCATAAGGACTTTAAAATGCCAAATAAAAAAAAAAATAAAAAAAAAATCTAATAAATGAATAAAGTACTTATCCCTGCAGAACAATATCAGCCTGAAAGTGAATCCGGTTGTTAAATAAAATACATTGCTCCCCCAACCCGCTAATGGTAGTATACGTCTTGGCTGGAGAAACGGCCGCTTCGTGCCTGGTCAGATGGTCATGTGACCTCTGGCAAAATCGAAAAACCAGCAAGGTTGAACTGGTCAAGCCAAATATTCGGTGTCTTCCGCTATTGTTTAGGAGCCCAATTTACTAAAGTATAAAACTGCATTTTTTAAATGGACCCCTAAGTGCCAGTTCCAGCTGAAGAGTGAGGACCTAACACAACCTTTATCTACTGGGATCCTACACGAGGGTGAGACACGGGTCCACAAAGCAAGCTTCTGCTGGTCGAGGAACTGTGTTGGCCATAGTTAGGCCAACATATAGACCAGTGTTTCCCAACCTTTTTTAAGTCAAGGCACCCTTTAAAAAAGTATGGGTAGTCCCGAGGCACCCATTAAAATTATGGACAGTCCCGAGGCACCCTTTAAAATTATGGACAGTCCCGATGCACCCTTTAAAATTATGGACAGTCCCGAGGCACCCTTTAAAATTATGGACAGTCTTGAGGCACCCTTTAAAATTATGGACAGTCCCGAGGCACCCATTAAAATTATGGACAGTCCCGAGGCACCCATTAAAATTATGGACAGGCTTGAGGCACCCTTTAAAATTATGGACAGTCTTGAGCCACCCTTTAAAATTATGGTCAGTCTTGAGCCACCCTTTAAAATTATGGTCAGTCTTGAGCCACCCTTTAAAATTATGGTCAGTCTTGAGCCACCCTTTAAAATTATGGTCAGTCTTGAGCCACCCTTTAAAATTATGGTCAGTCTTGAGCCACCCTTTAAAATTATGGTCAGTCTTGAGCCACCCTTTAAAATTATGGTCAGTCTTGAGCCACCCTTTAAAATTATGGTCAGTCTTGAGCCACCCTTTAAAATTATGGTCAGCCTTGAGCCACCCTTTAAAATTATGGTCAGTCTTGAGCCACCCTATTTTACAATGGGGTGCCTCAAGACTGTCCATAATTTTAAAGGGCATCCCATTCTAAAATATGTGAAACTATTCTAATAGTTTTTATAATGCAGCCACATCCACACTTGTAGGACACCCAACATTAGAGGGGATTTATTAACTAAAAGGCAGGCCTGTCCACCCGATGGCTTGTATACAAGTTTTGGGCAATTTTTAGACATTTTGCCAAGGCACCCCTGAAGAAACCTCAAGGCACCCCAGGGAGCCTGGGCAGCCTGGTTGAGAAAAGCTGATATAGATACATTGATCAGCCATAACATTCTGACCACCGACAGGTAAAGTGAATAACATGGATTATCTCAGTTTAATGGCATCTTAAAGTGGATGGGATATATTGGGCAGTGAGTGAACATGATGTCCCTGAAGTTGATGTATTGAAAGCCCAAAAAATGGGTGGAAAAATTTGAGTTTGACAAGGACCAAATGGTAATGTCTAGACGACTGGGTCAGAGCAACTTAAAAACTGAAGCTCCAGTGGGATATGCCTGGTCTGCAGTGGTCGGGACAAACCAAAAGTGGTCCAAAAAAGGAAAACTGGCCAACAAATGACAAGGTCATGGGAGGCAAAGGTTCATTGATGCATATAAGGAGTGAAACCTGGCATATGTAGTCAAATAGAAGAGCTCTTGTGGGATGTTCCTGGTCTGCAGTGCTCAGGACCAACCAAAAGTGGTCCAAAGAAGGAAAACTGGCCAACAGATGACAAGGTCATGGGAGTCAAAGGTTCATTGATGCACATAGGGAGTGAAGGTTGGCCTATGTAGTCCAATAGAAGAGCTCTTGTGGGATATTCCTGGTCTGCAGTGGTCAGGACCAACCAAAAGTGGTCCAAAAAAGGAAAACTAGCCAACAGATGACAAGGTCATGGGAGGCAAAGGTTCACTGATGCACATAGGGAGTGAAGCCTGGCCTATGTAGTCCAATAGAGGAGCTACTGGAGCTCAAAATTGCTGAAAAAGTTACTGCTGGTTCCAATAGAAAAGTGTCAGAACACAAAGAGCATTGCAGTTTGTTGTGTATGGGGCTGTGTAGCTGCAGACCGGTCAGGGTGCCCATGCTGACCCGTGTCCACAGCCAAAAGAACAAAAAATGCGCACGTGAGCCTCAGAACTGGACCATGGAGCAATGGAAGAAGGTGGCCTGGTCTGATGAATTCAACGTGCTCAAGATGTTGACTTGGCCGCCAAATACTCCAAATCCCAATGAGATGTGCTGGAAAAAACAAGTCCGATCCATGGATGCCCCCACTTCACTACACCATGGGAGAAAAAAAAAAAAAGTTGTGAACACACTCACAAACTAGCACCCGGTGCAAAAGAAAAAGTGAGCACACAAAAAACTGCACAAGTTGTATGTCTAGCCCTCCTCCGAAGAGAAATAGCCCCAGCCCTGATCCCCCACCCAGGGCGCAAGGCTCCTGACAGGGACTGAGGCACTCACTGGTCCACCTGGCCGAAACCAGACGGACCCCTTTCTTTGGGAAGCCTGCCAAAGCAAGGCCCCCCTAAATACTCAGTGGGGCTCCCCACCTCACAACTTACAAAACTTAAAGGATATGCTAGCCCTTTAACCCCTTAGGTTCCACAGTGATTGTACTGTTGTGGGTTTAGTAACACTTGAACTACTTCCTCTCTGCCCTATAGCAGATATACTGCTACATGGCGGCGCGGGTGCGCAAAATCACGTATATATACAGTTGTGTTCAAAATACTAGCCGTCAGACATCACTAACCGGATCAATCCCTGTTTTTGGTGGAAATTATATTTCTACATGGCAAATAATTTCCTAGCAGGTGTAGTAGAGTCATAGAAATCCAACAGACCCAACAGTCATGACATGCATGCTGCTGATTCTGTGTCATTGAATCACTCATTGAAAGGGGCGTGTTCACAATAATAGCCGTGTGGAGTTCTATTAGTGACGTCATTCATTCTTTGATAAACAGGTGGCAATTATTGCCCTTATTTAAGGAAGGAAGGCAGCAAATGTTGGACATGCTGGTTACAGTACATTTCTCTCTGAAATTCTGAGGAAAATGGGTCGTTCCAGACATTGTTCAGAAGAACAGCGTACCTTGATTAAAAAGTTGATTGGAGAGGAAAACATATAAAGAAGTGCAGAAAATGATCGGCTGCTCAGCTAAAATGATGGCAAATGCTTTAAAATGGCAACCAAAACCTGAAAGACGCGGAAGAAAGCGAAAAACTACCATTGGAATGGATAGAAGAATAGCCAACATGGGGCGGACTCAGCCAACAATCAGCTCCAGGAAGATGAAAGAAGGTGTGACGTTCCCTGTGAGGACTCAGCCAACAATCAGCTCCAGGAGGATGAAAGAAGGTGCGACGTTCCCTGTGAGGACTGTTACAATTAGAAGACGCCGATGTGAAGCCAAGCTATCTGCAAGAAGTCCCCGCAAAGTCCCACTGTTGGGAAAAAGACGTGTGCTGAAGAGGTTACAATCTGCCAAAGAGCACATTGACCGGCCTAAAGAGAAATGGCGCAACATTTTGTGGGCTGATGGAAGTAAGATTGTTCTTTTTGGGTCTAGTGGGCGGAGACAGTTTGTCAGACGACACCCAAACACTGAATTCAAGCCACAGTACACTGTGAAGACCGTGAAGCATGGTGGTGCAAGCATCATGATATGGGGATGTTTCTCATACTACGGTGTTGGGCCTATTTATCGCATACCAGGGATCATGGATCAGTCTGAATCCATCAGAATACTTGAAGAGGTCATGCTGCCTTATGCTGAAGAGGAAATGCCCTTGAAATGGGGGTTCCAACAAGACAACGACCCCAAACACACCAGTAAACGTGCGACATCTTGGTTCCAGACCAACAAGATGGACGTTATGGAGTGGCCAGCCCAATCCCCGGATCTTCATCCAATAGAAAATTTGTGGGGTAACATCAAAAATGCCGTTTCTGAGGCAAAACCAAGAAATAGAGAAGAACTGTGGAATGTGGTCCAATCATCCTGGGCTGGAATACCTGATCACAGGGGCCAGAAGTTGGGGGACTCCATGCAACACAGATGTACAGCAGTTCTCAGAAACAGTGCGACTACAACCAAATATTCATGAAGTCATTCAAAGGAAAGCAAAATCTTCAAACATTTCTCAGTTTATATAGTGAATGTTTGAGTTTGTAAAGAAGAATACAAACACTGTCATTTTTTTGAACCGTCTAATATTCACTTTTCTTCCATTTTTTTAGAGGATCAACACAAATCTGATGTATTTTTCTTCATGTTGTGATTTGGAATAGAATGTGTCGTGTTCCCAATGCATTTGTGTGGATGGAAATAAAAGGATTAGAAGGATTTGCAGCTTTATTCACTTTTTTCATCACACTGCTAATATTTTGAACACAACTGTACGTGATTTTTCAGTTCCGGGTAGGGGGCGCGTGTCCTACCCGCGCCGCCGTTCACGGCCTCGACTGTCAATCACCTGGTCCCGGCCAATGATGACTTGGTGATCACCAAGTATCTTCGACGGGGGGGAAACCTGTGTATAAACAACACAGATCTCTCTCTCCCCTGTCAGCTCCTGTACACTGCATTGTATGGCTCTGAACAGACACAGCACACACAGTAAAACAGCACACAGTTAACCCTTTGATGGCCCCAGATGTTAACCCCTTCCTGCCCAGTGCCATTAGTACAGTGTCAGTGCTTTTTATTAGCACTAATCACTGTATTGGTGTCACCAGTGATGTCAGTGACACCAAATCAGTTCCCCCCCAGTGTCAGAATGCCCTCCGCAGTGCCGCTATAAGTCGCTGATCGCTGCCATTACTAGTAAAAAAAAAATTCCAGTATCTATACCGCCATTTGTAGACGCTGTAACGTTCACATAAACCAATTCATTTAATTTTTTTGGGATTTTCTTTTTAGCAAAGACACGGAGCAGAAAACATTTTGGCCGAAATTTGATTTTTTGAAATTTTTTTACTGGACATGTTTAACAGCAAAAAGTCAAAAATATAGGTTTTTTTTCTCAAAATTGTCAGCCTTTTTTGTTTATAGCGCAAAAACGAAACAAAAACAATCAAATACCACCGAAAGAAAGCTCTATTTGTGGGGAAAAAGGCCATAAATTTCATTTGGGTGCAACGCTGCATGACCGCGCAATTGTCAGTTAAAATAATGCAGCGCTATATCGCAAAAAAAGGTCTGGTCAGGAGGGGGGGGGGGGGGGGGTCCTCTGTAGGGTGAGGGGTTAAACAGCACCCAGTTACCTCTCCCATGGTCAGGCTGCAGTGATATGGAGGTGCATGATATTAGGGAAAGTAAGACCCCCCCCCTCTTCCTGGTAATAATACATGCCCCTCCTGCCTCCTCTTAGTATTGACAGATGACCCCTACTTCAGCTAATCATAGCCCCTCTTCCTGTAAAGTCAGGTGACTCCCCCCTCCTTGCAATGACACATGTCCCCCCCACCAGCCACGGGGAGCAGAAAAGAAGGTGAAAGACCTGCGTAACAAGGTAACGGAACCTTAAAAAGTTAGAAAATTGCCCGGTCTGGAAGGGGGGGGGGAATCCTCTGTAGGACGAGGGGTTAAATAGCACCCAGTTACCTCTCTCATGGTCAGGCTGCAGTGATATGGAGGTGCATGATATTAGGGAAAAGTAAGACCCCCCCCCCCCTTCCTGGTAATAACACATGCCCCTCCTCTTGGTATTGACAGATGACCCCTACTTCAAGAGCCCCCCCCCCCCACTTCAGCTAATCATAGATGACCGCCTCCTCCTGTAAAGTCAGGTTACTCCCACCTCCTCACAATGACACATGTCCCCCCACCAGCTACAGGGAGCAGAAAAGAACTGTTGAAAGACCTGCGTAACAAGGTAATGGAACTTTAAAAAGTTAGAAAATGGCCTGGTCAGGAAGGGGGGTAAATCCTCTGCAGGGCGAGGGGTTAAATGCAGCTCAGTATTTTGTATGTCGATCATCTTTCTGTAAAAGCTTAATTGATCGTCAACGACACGTTTTGTCATTACATACGTGGTGAATTTGGCTTTTACATCCCCGTTACTTTTTTTCTCACATATAAAACCCAGTAAAAATGACTGACGGTCACCTTAGGACATGCCGCTCCTGCTCGGTCTGTTCCTCGAACGGCGCGGCGCTGTGGCACACCAATAGCGACACATCAAAGTCGTCGTGATGCCGGGCACCTTCTGTGTCTTTGTAC